CAGTCTAAAGGGATTTTGTTTGAGGATGGAAAAAGCAGCCCATTTCAGAGCCTCCTGCCACACTGACATTGTACTAGAATATACTTCATGTTCATGGCTTTTGACCCACAGGATTTTTTTTTTGGAAACACACCAAAGCCAAGCTCATTGCTAACGAGTCTATTCCAACTCATGGTAACTCCATGTATTAACCGAGTAGAACTGCTGCATGAAGTTTTCTTATGAGTTGGTGTCAACTTGATAACAATGAGTTTGGTTTGGGGCAATCTTTGTAGAAGCAGTTCCCAGGCCTTTCTTGCATGGTGCCAATGGGTGGAGTCAAACTTCCAACCTATCGGTTAATTGATGTTAGGTATCATCGAGTCAGTACTGATTCATAGCCACCCTATGCACAACAGAACGAAACACTGCCTGGTCCTGGGCCAACCTCACAATTGTTAACCACGCTTGAGCCCATTGATGCTGCCATTTTGCCAATTCAGTTCACTGGGGATCTTCTTCTTTTTCTCTAACACTCCACGTTACCAAACATGATATCCTCCTCCAGAGACTGGTCCATCCTGACAATATGTCCGAAGTATGAGAGATGAAGCTTGGCCATCCTGGCCTCCAAGGAGCTCTCTGGTTGCACTTCTTCCAACACAGATCTCTTCGTTCTTTTGGCAGCCCAAGGCACTTTCAATATTCTCCTCAAACACCATAACTCAAAAGCATCAATTCTTCTACGGTCTTCCTTATTCACTGTCCAGTTTTCACATGCATATGAGGTTATTGAAAATACCATGTCTTGGGTCAGATGCACCTTAGTCATGAAGCTGACATCTTTGCTCTTTAACACTTTAAAAGGTCTTGTGCAGCAGATTTGTCTAATGCAATACGTTGTTTGATTTCTTGACTGCTTCTTCCATGAGTGTTGATAGTTGATCCAAGAAGAATGAAGTCCTTGACAACTTCAATCTTTTCTCCATTGATAAGAATGTTTATTGGTCCAGTGGTGAGGATTTTTATTTTCTTTACATTGAGATGCAATCCATACCAAAGGCTGTACTCTTTAGTTGAGCACAAACACCCAGGGGCCTTCTTTGAAATAAACCTCCTTGAATTCATCCCTTCAATGATGTCCCCTGCTTACAAATTAGGACACTATTATGAAAGAAGAGCAAGTCTATCATAGCAAAGAGAAAAGAAATTTGTGTGGTGAGTATCATTATAATATACAACAACCATTTCCTGTGTCAAGTAACAAAATAAGTTCTTTTAATAGTACATTCTAAAGGAAGTCCAGTAGAGAACAGAATGCTCAATTTTAAAATCAAATTGCTTTAAGATTGGCATTTATTTAATGCTTTTAATAATAAGTTACATGATCAAATTATGAAAACATCAATAAAAATTAGACTCTATAAATTTTTACCAAGACAAGGTTAAAAAACTCCAGTGGTATCTTTGTAAAAGCTTAACAAATATGTCTGATGTATAACAGGGAACACTTCCACATTTAAGTGAAGTATCGAAAAAGTAGTGGAGGCTGCAAAAACATTTTTCTACAGCAGGATCTTACCTAGCGATATATGCTATTTGTGAAAAATCCGTTGAGGAATGGTGGTACTGGAGATATCTCCAATCTTGTTCACATAGTTTATAGTGTAAGTGGGTTTGCATTTACCAATTTATGTGATTTGTGTATGTTTGTACTTTTATTTTTTTAACTGATAAAAGGTATCAGAGCCATCACTTTTATAGATAAATATGTGATCATATAATGAGTACCCTAGTTTTGGATATAACATGTCCATAAAAAGAACACACACATATAACTCTCATAATGCATCGGGAACTAACAGGTGAAGGGGTCATGCAGTTTACATAAACTGGATAACGCACATGCTTTTTACATAAAATATGGTATACATCAGTCTATGGTGTGACTTCAGAATCAATCCAAGCAAGCTTACATGTATTTCAAAATAGGGGGAAAGCTATAGTTCATAATATGATTGAGTATTTCACATTGTTTTCTTGATGCATAAATCATAAGATGGCTAGCATAATTTTTGTACACATTTATAAATATTTTGTATTTGATTTCCCTAGTGAATATAGTTTTGTTAAACATATGCCATGTTTTCAATAGTTCTCTGATGATTACAGTGTACTTGAATTTCATAGTTTATTTCCTGTTGCTGTTGTTCTTAAGTACTGTCGAGTTTGTTCTGACTCATAGCAACACTGTATAGGGTTTCCGAGGAGCAGCTGGTGGGTTTGAATCGCCAACTTCGCAGTTGGCAGTTCAGTGCTTATCCTATGCCACCACACCATTTGACTGCTAACCGTAAGGTTAGTGGTTCAAACCCACCAGATGCTCCTCGGAAACCCTATACAGGGTCGCTAAGAGTCAGAACCGACTCGGCACTTAACAATAACAATGAGTAATTTCACCATTCACCAATACTTCCTATATTCTAACCAGGTCGTACACATGAATTTTGCTATTAGCAGCCTTGGTAGACTATAAAGAAAAATATATGTTCAAAACAATTTAGATTGTCAGCGCAAAGGCAATTTCATATAAACAGCTAATAAAGATGATCAACCAGACTTTATTTGGGTATTGTGGAAGGAATATGTGGATATGCATTTCCTTGAATGTTTAGTCATTTATATTTAGAAGCAATTTTTTTTCCCTTTATCTTTGAAAACACAAAACCTCTTCTATTGCCCAACAGCAAAAATCTAACTAATGCATAAGAGGCAGTTTGGCCAATAGTTGTTAAATGAAAAACTTCTTAAATTCTAATGTCTGCATAGTAGAATCTCTGAAACAGGAAAAATAAAAATGATCAGTTTAGTGGATAACCAGCTGAAGTCTAAATTTGTCTTCAACTTTGAGTTAGGCCATTGACTTCTAAAAAAGTAAAATGTTTAAAATATCTTGAAGGCAAATTTTATAAATATTCACAAAATGTAGGTTTATTTGTTGCTCTATCCACTCAGATATAATATCTACTTCACAACTAATGAGATATGGAATCATCTCCAAAAAGTGATAATTTTCTAGAACTAAAAAAATAAAAACTCATTGAAGGTTGACCATAGTATAAAAACAAAAAGGCAACTATTATAGCTAAATAAAAGCATTTTTATTTTCTCAAATAAAATCATTTTGTGTCTTGATTGATGTATTTCAATAATCACATAAAAGATCTAAAGGGGAAAATATTAACAGTATATGCTAGCAAGTAAAGACGAAAGATCCCCCTTTTTGTCTTAGCTTCCAGTTTGACAAGGTAGAACAGCTAACAGAATCTTGTCCAGGAAAACAGCTATAGTACTGTGCTTTGAAAAAAATCAGACTGCATTAAACTTTTAATAGATTACATGCTGCTGTGGCCTTTAAAACTTCTAGTAGTAGCTACAGGTTCTAATCTGGCACTTCAGGTAATGAAAAATGATGACCATAAAAATGCTTTAAGTCAAGATGAAAGTAAAAATGTATCATATCTTCTATGATTTCTTAAAGCAGGTTATTAGATTAAAATTTTTGGCTCTCAAAAAGAAATCTGAAGAAGACTGCCTTGCTATTGTTCAAAGAATTTCCCTCAAATTACTGTAAAATGCATTTGGCTAACACTGATTCTTCCATAAACTCATTTAATATAAAATTCTCAAAAATTTTAGCAAGGAAAAATAATTGCAAGGATCTTTTACTCCATTATTATTCCTCTGGTCTTCTAGTTTACTTTGTGTTGAATTTTTGTCTAACAAAGATTTTGTGAAGTTTAATACCATTTTCTCTTTGATTAAATATCACTTCTTTAGCTGTGTTGTTTTAAAAGGTAACTTTTAAAGTCAGTACCAAAATAAATATACAGGCCTATTAGTTCATTTGCTAATTATAGTTACAAAACTCACATATAGCCCATTCAAATGACAAGAACAAAAACACAAACAAAAAAATGTTTTTTAAAATAGTGCATACAAGGCACAAAAGCTTCTCAGTATATTTCCTGAAGACGAAAATTTTGGCATCAACAAATACATCACTTTAGTTTATCTGAAACTAAAGTCCCCAATAGCATGTTACTTTAGTTCAACTTGAACTAAATTTCCAGAGATTCTGGTATTTGTTTGATAACCGCATAATTTAATCTAAACAGGTGTTTGAGGAGCCCTATCATGGTTTTGTTGAGAGGCCATAGAAATAATTCAGCTATCACTAGAGGATTCTTGTATTGACTCATCAGGTAATAGTAATAGAAATTCACCATATTTTGCTACATTCAATAGGATAAATAATCTAAAATGTTATATTTTAAGCCAAATTGAGAAAAGAATGTCATAAACTAATATGACAAAAGAATGTCATAAACTAATTGTGATCATAGACTGTCTCCCAGCTCCTACCCGCAGTCTAGGAAGACTAGAAGAGAAGAACAATATGTTTCCGATGCAAGTAAAATGCATTCGTTATGATTAGCATTTTCTAGCCAATTGTTTAATCAGGACTTTAGGCTTCAATATTCTTATTAGTTTTCCAGCAGAGAGCAAAGGCAAGGACTAGACTGGATTAAAATCTTCTGAATGGTGATCTTCAACTGCAGGCCACTGGCACTTTGCAAAGAATTCAAAGGAGCAACAATTCTCTCAGTCTGAGGCTGGCATTCACATGAGAGGGAATAAACAAAGAACAGACTTGCTACATTTTCACAGGTAACCAGCAGGTTTCATAAATGAAGCTTATAATTGTAATGTGTCTAAATCTTTTAAATCTCAAAACAGTATCTTAAAATTCTCAACTTTCTGAATCAGAAAATTAGATTTTATGTGATAAATTGTGCTACCCAAATTTTTGGATGAAACCAGACCATGAATTTATTCCAAGTTTTTATGATAAAATATATTCCTCCCCTTGATCCATAAACCATAATTTGTACTAATATTTAACAGGAATTTGTGTTACTTGAAACAATCTGTATACTGTATAAAAAGTCCATTCTGTGTTAAATCATGGCTCCAGGAGAACTAATCAGTTCACAGTCTACATATCCAGACAACAGGAAATGGGAGGAACTGGTCAGTGCACCTTTCTGTAGAAATCTCTTCCATCCATCTATACCACTGACAGCTACAAATAAAACAGAAGACATGAAATTAGTATTAACCGTAAATTTAAAAAGAAACAAGAAACAAAGCAAAAAACTTACCAACTCAGTTATTGTTTGTTGCAATAACATCCCTTCTTCAAAATTAATGTTTTCCATGCTAGAAGTCTCAATAGATTGGGTCTTGAATATAAACTTTTAAGATCAATGCTTTTCAAATTTGAATGTGCATATAAAAGATGCACAATGAAGATCATGTTACTAGATACAGAACTTCTGGTTCAGGAAGACTGGAGCACTCTCCAAGACTCTGCAGTTCTAACAAGCTCACAGGTGATGCCAATGTTGCTGGTAAATGGGCCAGAACTTGAGTGGCAGGGTTTAGGGTCTTAGTTCAGCATGACTCTGAAGCCAACAGTTTAGGAATTGCAAGTTGGAAGGGACATTTAGGGAAATACTTTTGAAACTTCATGTGCATAGAAGCACAGTGGTTTTTGTTGTTGTTGCTTTGTGTGTGCGTGTTTTTTAAAATCTAGGGTATCTAAAAGGGAAGGTTGTACAAGTTAAACCTCGAATCTACTCTTTGGAGTCTCTGGGTGGTGCAAATTATTAAGTGCTCCATGATAGTAAAGAAGTTGGCAGTTTAAACCCACTCTAAGGCACGTCAGAAGGAATGTCTGGAAATCAACTTCCAATAGGTCATGGCTTTGAAAACCCTATGGAGCACTCTACTCTGCATTAACAACCTGCGAGATGCAGATGATACAACCTTGCTTAGTGAAAGTAAAGAGGACTTAAAATATTGATGAAGATCAAAGACCACAATTGTCAGTATGGGTTGCATCTCAAAAACAAAACAAAAATCCTCACCGCTGGACCAATAAACCACATCTATATAAATGAAGAAAAGACTGAAGTTGTCAAAGACTTCATTTTGCTAAGATCAACCATCAACACTCATAGAAGCAGACGTCAAGAAACTAAATGACATATAGCATTAGGCAAATCTGCTGCACAAGACCTCTTCAAAGTGTTGAAGAGAAAAGATGTCAATTTGAGGACTAAGGTGCGCCTGACCCAAGCCAGGGTATTTTCCCTAACCTCATATGTATGTGAAAGTTGGACAGTGAATAAGGCACACCATAGAACAAGTGATGCATCTGAGTTATGATCTGGAGGAGAATATTAAAAGTACCATGGACTGTCAAAACAACAAACAGATCTGTGTTGAAAGAAGTACAGCTGGAGTGCTACTTGGAAGCCAGAATGGCCAGACTTCGTCTCTCATACTTTGAACACATTATGAGGAGGGACCAGTCCTGGAGAGCTAGGAGGGGCCACATCATGTTTGGTAAAGTGAAGTGTTGGAGAAAAAGAGGAAGACCATCAATAAGATGGACTGGCACAGTAATGGTAGTGATGGAGACAGGCTGAGCAATGATTGTGAGGTTGGCCCAGGACTGGGCAGTGTTTTGTTCTGTTGTGCATAGGGTCACTATGAGTGGATACCAACTCAATGGCACTTAACAACAACAACTCTGTACACACGGGGTCAGATCAGCTAGATGGCATCTAACAACAATCTACTCTTTAGCACTATTATAGAGTAGTTGTTGTTGCTAAGTTCTGTCGAGTTGGTTCTGGTCCATAGCTACCCTCTATAGAGTTTCCAAGGAGCAGCTGTTGAACTTGAATCACCAACCTTGAGATTCATGTTGACTTTGAAGTCCAGCACACTAGCCCACGGTGCCACATATTACAATTACCTGGAAAGTTGCTGAACTAGAAAATATTATATAAAAGCTCACAGATCATTTATTAATGTAGTTCAAAAAGAGGAGAAAGATAATATAAGGTATTACTTAGGAATGTATTTAAATTGTACATTACTGAATATAACTGAGTACTGAATGAAATCTGAGTTACAGGGAAAAAAAGTATTTTTAAAAGTCTAGCATTCATTAGACTTAGACAAAAGTTAATTTTTAAAAATGTTATTTTGGGGTATATTTTGGGGAATGAAAAACATTAAATCAGAAAATCACATTTTTTTTAGGTCTTTGTAGTAGCTGATTCATGCTGTCATTTGGTTAGTATGACCACTAATGTCCTATATTAAAATATAAATCAAGATTTTGTGATTTTTTTTACTTTAAGTTGATTATTTATATATGTATATATATATTAGTATCTACTATGTGTCTTTATATGGTGAAAGGTGTTTTTTAAGTTTTTATTGTGAATTGAGTGATAGTTTACATGGGAGAACATCAGTTTTACACTCAGCTTATCTGATTTTGTTTCATTGCAGTGATTACAATCCCCTCCATGCATTGTCATTCAATAGTATTTGCTCTATTCCTTCTGATTTTTGTTTTGTTTTGTTTTGGATGTTCACCAAAACATACAGGAATATATAATCATTTAAACCAAAGGGCACATTCTGCAAGACTACCTCTTGGCTGCCAGCACACAGCCTTTCTCTTTCCATGAGTCTAGCATCCCCATCTGCTCTATCTCTCTATGTCATCATCTCTGCCTCCATCTCTGGTGTCACTGCTTTTCTGGATAGGGTCCCACATTCTGCTCATGCTCCTCTCCCTTGATTGTCCTAGGGTCCTCTGTTACTGGACTTTAAGATTAACTACTTCCCCCTTTTTGTTATAAAACTTCTACCTTTACAGTTGTGACAATCACAATTAGTCATGATAACAATTACTCACTATTGAATCATATGAATCTTATCCCCATCTCCTTTCATCAGATCCATCCAGACTAAATGAAAACTATTCAGTGGGGGTTCTACCTTCCCCTGCATACTCTGAAACGAAATGCCCTCTTGAAAACTTGTATGCCAGTCACTTCATGCCTTTATAGCTCCCCTCCCCCATTTTAGGTAGCCAATGTCTAAGTTGCCCATCTCTATCAACCCTGAGTACAGAGGGGATAGGAATGATCCTTGGTGCAAGGTTTTTAATTGAGAATCTACAAACAACAAAAAAATGCACTAGTCTTGTGTCAAAATACTGGGAAATCAAGACAGCTTAAATATGATATTACTATGTAAACATACAAAGTATTTAACACTCAAAAATTGTAATAGCATTGACTTCACAACAGTGGTGCTTATCATTTGAAATTAAGAATTTGAACTAATTAAAAAATTCTCTGAAACTTTATATTTTCCCATGTTCCATGAAATATTTTATTTGTGCTGTTGGCTAAGGTTTAGTTACATTATAATAATTATTTCAAAAAAAAAAAAACTCTTAAGACATTTAAACCAAATGGTTGTTGTTGTTACATGTTGTCAAGTTAGTCTGGACTCATAGCTACCCTATGAACAACAGAACAAAATATGCTCTGTTGTGTGCTGTGCTGTCCTCTCAACTGTTACGCTTGAGCCCATTGTTGCTACCATTGTGTCAGTCCATCTTTTAGTAGGTCTTCCTTTTATTCCCTGACTCTCCACTTTACCAAGCATGATGTCCTTCTCCAATGACTGATTCCTCCTGACAATATGTCCAAAGAATGAGAGACAAAGTCTTGCCATCTTGGCTTCTAAGGAGCATTCTGACTGTACTTCTTCCAAGATAGATTTCTTTGTTCTTCTGGCACTCCATGGTACTGTCAATATTCTCCAACACCGTAACTCAAATGCATCAATTCTTTTCCTTTTTAATTGTCCAACTTTCACATGTATATGAGGCCATTAAAAATAACATGGCTTGGATCCTCAAAGTGACATCACTGCTCTTGAACACTTTAAAGAAGTCTTTTCAGCAGATTTGTCTAATGCAACATGTTTGATTTCTTGACTGCTGCTGTCATGAGTGTAGATTGTGGATCCAAGAAAAATGAAGTCTTTGATTGCTTTAATCTTTTCTCTGTTTACCATGATGTTATTTAATGGTCCAGTTGTAAGGATTTTTGTTTTCTTTATATTGAGGTTCAATCCATAATGAAGGCTGTAGTCTTTGATTTTCACTAGTAAGTACTTCAAGTCCTCTTCACTTCCAGCAAGCAAAATTGTGTCATCTGCATAATCATAGGTTGTTAATGAATCTTCCTCCAATCCTGATACCATACTATTTGCTTGTATTTGCATGTATTCTCATATTATTTACTCAGCATACAGACTGAATAAGTATGGTGAAATGATACAACCCTGGCACATCTTTCTTGTTTTAAAACCATTCATTTATCTCTTTGTTCTGTTCTAACAACTACCTCTTGGTCTATGTTCAGGTTCCTCATGAACACAATTAAATGTTCTGGAATACCCTTGCATCACAATGGTATCTGTAGTGTATGAAAACCCACACAGTTGAATGCCTTTGAATAGTCAATAAAACGCAAGTAAACATCTTTCTGGTACTCTCTGCTTTCAAACTAGGTCCATCTAATGTCAGCAATAAGATCCCTAATTTCACATCCTTTTCTGAATCCTGCTTGAAGTTCTGGCAGTTCCCTGTCAATATATTGTTACAGCCAGTTTTTAATTATCTCCAAGAAAATGTTACTTGCATGTGATATTAATGATTTTGTTCAATGGTTTCCACATTCCATTTGGTTCCCTCTTTTTGGAATGGGCACAAATATGGATTTCTACACAGGTACAAATATAAATAAGTTGTTGGTCTTGCAAAAATTGTATCATGTGATCTCTAGCATCATTTCTATCACCAAGTTCATATTTTCCAACTACTGATCCTTTCTCTGTGTTCTCAATTTTTGTATTCCAATCCTCAGTGATTAGCAGTGCATCTTGATTGCATGTTTGATCTATTTCAGAATGAAGAAATTGGTAGAATTCTTCAATTTCATCACTAACTTTGGTGGTTGGGTGTGTAAATTTGAATATTAGTGGCATTAATTGCTCTTTTTTGTAGGTGTATGGATATTATCCTATCAGAGACTACATTGTACTTTATGGTAGATCTTGAAATGTTCTTTTTTGTTGATGAATGTGACACCATTTCTCTTCAAATTTTCTTCCTTGGCAGAGTAAACCATGATTGTT